CCAACGTACTATCCAGTTTGTAGATTGGTGTCCAACCGGTTTCAAAGTCGGTATTAACTATCAGCCACCTACTGTCGTTCCAGGAGGCGATTTAGCTAAAGTACAACGTGCAGTATGTATGTTGAGTAATACTACAGCTATCGCCGAAGCATGGGCTCGTTTAGATCATAAATTCGATTTAATGTACGCCAAACGCGCTTTTGTTCATTGGTATGTCGGCGAAGGTATGGAAGAAGGCGAGTTTTCTGAAGCTCGTGAAGATTTGGCAGCATTGGAAAAGGATTACGAAGAAGTAGGCACTGACTCAGTCGACGATGAAGGCGAAGAAGGAGAAGATGAATACTAACTATTATCATTTTCTTAAATAATTCGACTTAAAAGATATTATTTTGGGGTAGTATATAAAGTCTGAACAGTGTCGCCTTCATAATGTAATGTTTTACATATCGGAATACGATATCCTTAAAGTACGCATACCTGTATCGACATAATACTCGTATACTGGTATACCGTCTTTAATAGTGATAGTTAATAACTTTTAAAACTTGTACTCTATCACTTGTCATGTGAACTAGTATTATTAAAGCCTTTTTGTTTATCATTAATCACCTTCAAATACGGTAATTCTTCGTAAGATTAAAACGCTATGATTTAGAAATCATAGTCTGGATTGGTTAAGCTCATCGTGATTTGATTCTGATGACACTTGCAAATTCCAGTTTTCTAGCTTAAGTATTAGTAATGGTGGTATTTTGTTTATTGTATATTTATCAATTCATACTTAAAAAGCAAAATATTAACGCATACACCATACGATACAAATTACCGAAAACGTATACTATCTGACTCAATTGTCATCTATTTATTAGTATACGATCCATTCTATCTTTTGTTAATCCATATCAAATAAAATTTTCGCTGATACACGTACTCTAGAAGTCTAATTACATTTTAAAATTGTGAGTGCCTCAACAGAAAGTAGAGCTAAGCCTGATTAAGGATATTTACAAACATCATTACACGCTCAAGTATTCATATGCATCGTTTATATAGCATCGCCAAATAAACGCGTAAAAGTATCAGCTCGACTCCACGTAGTATTTATTGTAATCTTAATTTTGTAATCGCGTACGATTTCAAATGTAAATTACGCGTAAAGGATGTATCAATCTTGTCTGTACGCACGTACCATTACGAATGCTTGTATTTAAATAGTATAGTATTCAAGTGTTCGGGAGTTAGTTGTTTCCTCGGAGCTCGTAGTCGAACGTGTACGATTAGTAAGTTGAATTTCTCCTCAGAGATTATAAGGCCTGCATCGCCAGGCAATAACTTAGGATTCACGTGCATTGTATTATTCTTAGCTCGCAGTTATGGGCAGTGTAGTTAATAGAGAAATAAAGCATTACTTAACCGAAGATTAGACAATTATTGTGAGACAGCAGGCCGAATACATCAACTATCCGATAGTCGGAGTAACTCATGAGCTAACCCCAGCTCCGTTTCATCAAGATATGCCGAACTTTAACAGTATTTCTTTCAGAAGTTATATACGAGCTCCAAGCTGAACTAATTTATCATATAAAGTAGTGACAAAGTGTAACAAACTTATAATGCGCAACAACTATAGTAATGCAATTCTTTAACTTATAGGATATTCAAGTTTCGTATCTGATATCAAGAGCTTCTCAGTGATTTTTATGATAATAATATAACTGAGAAGTCCTTCCTAATCTACCAGATCATATGCACACACGCATACGACAACTTGAGCTACGGAATCCTACGTAGGATTTGTAGTTCCTATCTTTAAGGAAATTTTTAATTTAAAGAAAAGTAAGATGAAATACTGGGCAGATTATCCACTGCCACTCGATGTTGTAATCATATATGTTTCTTTCATGGTTGGCATAATTCTGTATATGCTATAAAAATAGATATACTTTATACTGTTTGTGCGGCATCGTGATTTCGACCTAAGATATACGCGTAAAAGTAAAAAGCTCTTTCTATTACCTGTATAGTCTCTACTACTACTAGTTCCACTCCCAGCTTAGGTACAATAACTTTTTAAGGCCGTACAATCAATAGCATAATCGAATTAATTATTAAGTACAGCATACTGTATATAGTAATAACTGTATATGATGTTAACTAAAAAGTGCACATATTCATATAGACTGTATACGTTTCGCGAAGTATAACGAGCGCGGGTCTACCAGTATATTGTAACTGTGATTGTAAGCGTTAGTTTCAGTAAAAAAGTGTAGAATCATCGACGCTCGCTTGAAAGCGAGTGAGCAGGCTGTAGGTTAGTACAGTATGAAGAAAATCCGCATTTTCCTTGCTGCATGGCTTCATACTAATCTACTGTATAATTAGGAATGTATTAAACCGCTTATTTCTACTCTTGGGTTTTTACTATAGACCATACAGATAAGAGAAAAGTCGAGCAGACTGTCACTCGTGAATTTTTGTTATGGCTTTTACCGTTGCTAGGTAACGTATAGTAATCGCGATGGTAAACAAATAAACTACGTTTTTACACGTAATATACTTATATAATATATATATACTACTGATATTGGGTTTCGGAAGTAATTCTATCTAGTAACCTTTGGCAATCGTCACTCGTTGTCACCTGTTTTCTTTCCTGAATTTTAACGCTTTTTCTTCTTGACTTTCATTTCAAACATCATCCAATATGGTAAATACGAGTATAATCCTATTTCACGTATTTATACTACCTATATGCACGTAGCTACTGTACAAGTGTACGTTAAAGTTAAAAATGTAGAATGT